TGGGGGGGGAGGAAGGCTGGAGGAATTTTTCCAAGTAAACTCCAGTCGCTAGGCTAATGCGTTTTGCTTGGCAACTATGAGCGTCGCGCACTTGCCGTCGGTGCACTCATTGGAGCTTTGTTTCTCTTTGTTTCTTCGCGAGATCAGGGTATTCTAAGTGGTGCACCGGACGTCTAGCATTAAGTAGAGGGCACGTTAAGTTAGTGTGTTCTATGGTTACAGCACCTGTACACTGCGGCAGACACCATAGGAGCACACTATAGGAATCCCCTCAGGCAAGCTGTTACCAACCGTTATTTGCGTTTGCGCAACCCTGTTTTTGCTCAATGTCTGCCTGTAGCTGTCCGTGCTCTCCCATTGCCAGAAAGAATGATCGACGCGCGTCGTCATTGTCAAAGCATTCTCTTCAGAATGGAGTTTAAAAATTATTTACTAAATTATTACCTTCTTTCCTATTGTGATTCTTATATAATCGTAATTGTCTCTAACTTGCTGACTTGAGGAATTTTTTCGAGAGTCATATAAGTCATTTAACTGTTTTAACTGGCTCTATTTTTTATAGGCATGCTTGCAAATGTATTATACATACTTTGACTACTGTTTCGCTAGTCACTTTATCATATGACTCATAGATTAATCGAAGCGCCATGACGCTTGCAAGAGTTTATTAGTTTATTTATTCACTCCTTAGAAACGATAGCAGACTTCAAACGTATCAATTATCAAGATTCGGAGCTTTAGATCCGCATACCGAGAAATGCTTTGACAATTCCTGATGCACTTTAAAGACAAACGCGACTGTTTGCTTTGTTGAATAACAATCTATTTACTTGTCTTCGATCGGATTTTTAAGTTTTTAGTTTTTACTTTACGCGTTCAATGCTCACGCGATGTCTTTAACGACGCGCAAGAGATTCCATAACCTAGCATTCTACGCTCACACTGTACAACAGTTGATACAGTTTGACATAACCTGTACGACTTGTCTTAACGGACCGTATTTCAAACTGTATCGAAATAATTGTTTTAAATCGTGTATTGCCGGTGATGAAAGATTCATTGAGTAGTGGAAAAAAACAAACGAAAGGATCTAATCGCTGGCTTCTACATAGGCGTATCTAATAATTTATCGGAGCATTCTCTTGTGACTAGTGAACAAAAAATATTATTCGGTACAACATGTAGAGACTGTCATGTGAATAACATATAAATGATGATGGTGTGGCCATGGGTATGTATATGAATATATATTTTTATTAACCACGGCGTTTTTTCGCATTGCAAGCTTTTCACTATATCCTGATTTGTTCTCGAGAACTATTTTATTTTTAATATTTGACATTTATCGATATGGTGACGGAGGGGAATCGGTGTGTCATATTATTTGGTAGCCCTGCTGACAGATTGCCTATAATTTGGTGTGTCTCGTGCCTGCTTGCTTCTTTTTTACTTTATTTAATTGTCGCATTTTGTACCACGATCCTTCTGTGCTGTCGATAATTAACGCAAATAACTCAAAGAGAGTTTATGTTGCTACGAAGAATTAAATTAAATTGTGGTAATGAAAATGCATAATACCATAGAGTTCGACGAATAACTCACATTAATGTAATCGGAGCTGAACGTTGAATGGTTAAACGAATGAACGTACGAGTTTTGGTGTTACTTTAACGTAGAGGAATTGGGTGACATTAATCAACAATAACCTACTCTCAATAAACCCAAATCAAAGTAATGTACGTCTTGTAAATTTCTTTCAGATTGTTCAATAAGAATCACCATGTTTCTACGATAGAATGTATCTTAGCGAGTCCCTACTGCTTTCTGGAATGATATTTTTACGAATCATCGTTATCTCGAACAGGCAAAGAAGTCGAACCGTTCATTTTCACGAATGGCAAATTTCCGAGTCGTCTTATTCTTGAAAAGTCAGTTTTCTCAGAAATTCAAGTTACCGATGGAAACGTATCGAGCCGGATTGAAATAGCTTCGTTCCGTTAAAAGATATATATATATATAAATATTACTGTAAAGATTTAAAGTAGCCCAATAAGTTGATAACACGTTAGATAAGAAAATTTGGATATTGAACTCTGGTTAATAGTAGTTCACCTGCATAGACAACAAAAGTGTATAAATTTTTCCTTGGCTTCGGTGTCGATGTTGTTAAGATTGATAAAAAGTATGAAATACAATTTAAAAAATGTTGTTATTTAACAAAAGTAATGTAGTTTGGAACTATCCTACGGTAGCAGAATTGTGAAATTTGCCAGCCATATTTTCTGGGTAAAGTGCATGCGTGGATACTTGAATCTTATTTAGGAAATACATTAACACCAGCATTGTTCAAGATACGTTCTAAGCATGTCTCTCCTTTTACCTTTCGGTAAAATGAGTTTTCGAGAAAACGACTGTTCGAGATTACAATATTCGATAAACGATAGAGGGACTCTCTCTCTTAGTTACAGTGTTAAAGTATTTATTTATATATACATATATTATACATACATAAAATTTTTATTTATTACATTACGTATACTATATATGTATATACATATATTTTTGCCCAAGAAATAGCTTCAGGACGATTTCTTGTCCGAATATATACACACACACTGTATACACGGTTACGCAGGACTCTCGCACCATCCGAAGATGGTCGTACAATGGTAATTAATGGAAATCAAATGAGAATCAGGTAGTGCGACAGTCCTGAATAACCTTGTATATACGTGACAGACAAAGTTCAGTGGACTGAGAGTGATGATGGCATTAACAAGATTGGCAATTCGTATTTAGAAAAAGTGCGGTGACTCGTGACGCCCTAGTACGTTCAAAGCCAATAAAAATAATGCAAACAACAGCAAAGTTACGAATCCCGCGTTACCACTTGTTCCAGATCCACGTGTACAGGCCGTTACGTAAAACTTTGAAAGCGAACGAAGAATAAGAACGTACAAAATATTAGGCTCAAAATACAAGCCTCCATTCGATGGCAAAGAGTAACTAGTTTACTTCAAATATTTCCTATTCATATAATCTCTGCCACGTGTCAAGTTTTTCTACGATTGCCGAGTTTTCCAAAATTGTCATTTTACTTCGAAGGGACAGCAGTTCGCCACCGCGTGTAACTGCCTATTGAAAACTGACTTTGACTCTTTGCTTGGCTTTGATACGTCCAGGGCTTTCCCTCGATGACAACCGCACGCACATTGAAAGCCAAGCACCCATGCAACAGCAGAGTGGCATTGGAGCATTGTGGTCGTGTATAGTGTGCTAATTTGGTTGTGTCTTGTCTGTTGTGTCGTCAGCAAGAGCACGCAGGCTTGAACCCCACCGAGTCCATGACACGCGCATTGATTAGTGACGATAATATCGCCCGCCAGTCTGCCCTCGGTCCTGTCCAGTTGGGGTACGTACCTAGAACACCTCCTTGGCTCACGTCTAACAAGCTGCTTTAACACCTTCGAACGAGACTTCCTTTTACACTGCAAGCACAATATTAACGTATTTTAATATTTCAGTAATTGGATCTTCTACGTGAATTATAGCGGGACCATAAGCTGCTCAGCGCTCTTCATAACTTTAGAGATTTGAAGTTTTATTTTTATATTTCTTTTTTTAAATTCAATAACGCGACACGACTAATACCCAGGCATAAATTAATATTGTGCTTTTTTCTCTTTTTCCTTGGCCCGTTTAGCATTCTATAGTTGTAACAGTCTATCGCAACATTAATCTATCTTATGCCTTGCTGACTATCATGTATTTATCGAGACTCGTGGAAGTCTATGGAATGCTATATATCCTACTATCAGCACTTACATTCTATGACGTAGCATGTATAACATCTCACTTCCTCTTCCTGTCTAATCTTCTAAAGCAACTTTATCGTTTATTGATAATTATTAAGATACGAAATGATCGACAATCGGCCATCTTGGATATTAGATTTTCTATGTCGATCGGACGTTTCTTAGGTCATCTCGTGTCTTATGTCACTTACATAGTTTTCTATCTATCTAATCATATTGGATTCTCTTAAGTGGGCAGTATTTAATTTATGAGGATACACCGAAACTAGACGATTAACCAATTATTGTGAACCGTTGCATCCGTAATATTATAGATTTCGTTTAATCACACTATTCGATACTTAAAACCCCTTGTCATAAGTGTTTGGATTGCTGTTGTTTGTTGAATTCCTTGTTGTCTTTTGGAAGTTTTACATAGGCAGTAAACAACCTCGTAATTCGTGACAATTCAAGGTATGTAAAAAAAAGAAAAAAGAAAAAAAAATTAAAAGGAAAAATCGAAAGGGCAAAAAAAATGACCATGGCTGCAAAAATCATCATTATCTTTCAACGACAGTTGGAGACATGACCTACATCGGTTATCCATCGATATTTTCAAAGAACTTTTTTTTTGTCAACGGATTCGTCAGCTCTGCGATATTTATATTTTGCAATTCACTGCGCAACTCGGTGAATACATATTTTTTGACAATATGCGAATCGATACAGATTGAAAAAGAAAAAATGATGTATTGACAATTCGGTAATTGGCGAAAACACGTAGAAGAATTGGACGGACAGTATGTTAATTATTGTATATCTCAAATCGATCGGTCAAGTGAAGAAGCAATTGCTTTCGTCTGTTAGATTAATATAGGTGTAAGTTATTAACGGTATACGTGATTAAAGTTGCCCTGGTTAGGTTAGGTTCTCGAAGCGTGTTGCGCGTTTGAAAAAATTGTCGCTTCAATAGATTTTCTTGTATAGTTTCGTCGCGGGAGTCATACTCCGAGAACGTATTCCTGCCTTCGAGCGCATGCTCTGGCGTGCCTGCCGTGGAAATGTGTTCCTGCGCCAAGCTGAGATCGAGACTCCTTTGGAAGATCCATCAACGGTAAGAGGATGCTGAGGCAGGCAAGGCAAGGTGCCTTGGTCCTTGTTGTACTAATGAGGAATGATTCATTGCTTTTAGGGAGATCAAGTCTTCAAGTCTGTCTTCATCATCTTCTTCCAAGGTGACCAGCTTAAGACTCGCGTCAAGAAGATATGCGAGGGCTTCCGAGCAACTCTGTACCCTTGTCCTGAGGCTCCTGCTGATCGTCGTGAAATGGCTATGGGTGTCATGACTCGAATCGAAGATCTGAATACTGTTAGTTTTTTTCTTCTATTTTCTTTCTTTCTTTTTTTTATATGTATTATTTTTACATGTCGAATTTGTTTAGTCTAATCCTTGTATGAATTTTCACATCTAGGTATTGGGACAAACTCAAGATCACCGTCATCGCGTTTTGGTGGCTGCTGCTAAGAACATAAAGAATTGGTTCGTGAAGGTTCGCAAGATCAAGGCTATTTATCATACCTTGAACTTGTTCAATCTGGACGTCACTCAGAAGTGTTTGATTGCTGAATGCTGGGTGCCTGTTTTGGATATTGAGACCATTCAGTTGGCACTACGTCGTGGAACCGTAAGGGTCAAACAGCTGATACGAGCTTCACGGTTAATACTGGGATTCACTTGTATTATTATTATTGTTTTAGGAACGTAGTGGAAGTTCCGTGCCGCCGATTTTAAATCGCATGGAAACTTTTGAAGATCCTCCGACCTATAATCGAACGAACAAATTCACCAAAGGTTTTCAGGCTCTTATCGACGCGTATGGCGTTGCTTCCTATAGGGAGATGAATCCTGCTCCTTATACCATTATCACATTTCCGTTTTTGTTCGCCGTTATGTTCGGTGATACTGGTCATGGTATGATTATGGCTCTATTTGGAGGATGGATGGTGCTTAAGGAAAAACCCCTGGCTGCAAAGAAATCTGATAACGAAATTTGGAATATTTTCTTCGGCGGACGATATATTGTATTTTTGATGGGCCTCTTTTCAATGTATACGGGATTCATTTACAACGACTTCTTCTCCAAGTCTTTAAACATCTTTGGAACGTATTGGAAAGTTAATTACAATTGGACTACAGTTAGTAGCCTCCCGTCGTTGCAGTTGGATCCGAATGGTACCGATTACTTACAGAGACCTTATCCCATTGGTATGGATCCTGTGTGGCAATTATCCGAGAATAAGATTGTCTTCTTAAATTCATACAAGATGAAGATCTCCATTATCTTTGGAGTGATTCACATGATATTTGGTGTCGTTGTGGGCCTTTGGAATCATATGTATTTCAAAAAACGTATCAACGTCATCTGCGATTTTATTCCTCAAATGATTTTCTTGCTCTTCCTCTTCTTTTACATGGTGTTGCTCATGTTCATCAAGTGGATCAAATACGCTCCAACCAACGGTTAGTCAACATAAATAACCATTTTAATCCAATTATAATCTTTCCTCCTTATAATCAAAATCGATCTTGTATTTTTTTTTTTAGAGGAGATTAATGGACCGTACTGCGCGCCATCAGTATTAATCACGTTCATCAATATGGTGCTTTTCAAAGCGAATGTTGCTCCCTCAGAAGTCTGCGACCCTTGGATGTTCAGTGGCCAACTTGGAGTTCAAAGAGCCTTGCTCATCCTGGCTGTACTTTGCATTCCATGGATGTTGTTCGCCAAACCTTTCTTACTAATGCGTAACATGAAGAGCAAAATGCATCAACAGGTATCTTTGGCTTTGCATTTAAATGCAGTAATTATTTATAAGTATTATAAAAGACAACGATGGCCTTGTTTAGTTAAACAACCATGGAACCGAGAATGGAGATGTAGAAGGTGGCGCTGGAGCTGTTCAGCAAAATGCTGGAACAGTGCAGGGTGGTCACAAAGAAGAGGAACAGCACGACATTGGAGAAATCTTTGTTCATCAGAGTATCCATACCATCGAATATGTTCTTGGCAGTGTGTCTCATACTGCCTCATACCTACGTCTCTGGGCACTGTCTCTAGCCCATGCCCGTAAGCGTTCATAAGTTATTAATTTAAAAATCCAATGTATCAGGAAAGCTAATCAAATTTATAATTTGTATCCAGAACTCTCCGAAGTGCTGTGGAATATGGTTATGCGAAACGGACTTAGATATGAGAATTGGTATGGTGGTGTCATCCTCTGGGTTGTATTCGCTCTTTGGGCTGTGCTTACCGTTGGTATCCTTGTTCTCATGGAAGGTCTTTCGGCATTCCTGCATACACTTCGTCTTCACTGGTAAGATTCTTTGATAACGATTTATCTACGTGCAAAGTGCTTATTTCATGCTTAAATTATAAATGCATCCGTAGGGTGGAGTTCCAGAGCAAGTTCTACATGGGTGCAGGATACACCTTCCAGCCCTTCTCCTTTGAAATTATTCTGGATTCTGCGCAGGCCACTGTCGAGGATTAAAATTTTTTAATCTTTTTTCTGGCCGTTTAAAGTATGTCGTTATGTACTTCTCTTCTACGTTGCTGGGTCATAGATGTGCGTAATTTACTATTTACTTATTTTAGAATCGAGGACGTCGGTGACCCTTATCCTCTAAATATTCTATTCTGTGCATAGTATATGTATAGAATTAATGCAGATCAATTGTACTTGAGTGAATTTTACATGCTACCAAGAATTTAAGTTTCATCTTTTATGAATGTACCCCGAAGAATTAAGAAACTGGTTTTCTCTCTTATTACAGTGAATAAACTGTAGGTGCTTTACGAGAGGTTATGAGTTTTACAGTCAAGGATATGTAGTGTAGCCAAAATACCATCTATTTAAAACTCTCTATTATGTGCATAACATTTCATGTAAAATGTAAGTAATAAATATACCGAGCATTAATTATACCGACTTATTAAAACACGTGTTAATCAGGTATTAAAACTTCGAACCATAAATGTTCGATTTTATTGGCTTATTGTTAAATTTCGGTCATATAGTTGTATAATGACTAATATTTATGAAGCTCACTAATCTTTATCCTTCATGGCTCTATGTACTCTTAATGATATATCAAATAAATGTATCAGTGTCCATCATGGCCTAGCTTCGTCGCTGCCATGAAATTCTTGCAAAATTCGAATAAATCAGCAACTTCACTTTATCTGATTCTTATTCTTTCATATACTTTTCGGAGATGGAAGGATTTATTAAAACCTATCATGTTATAAGGTTTTGCAAATGGTTAGATACAGATATTAACTTGGAAAAAGAGGAACCGTGAGAATAATATAAGGAGTTTCAACGAATCGTAATTTAGTTGAAGTAGATAAATATTTATCTCAAGTTTTTCCTGTACTTATAGTTTTTTTTTCCAATAAGATTCTGTTTCTTCTCACAATTTTTAAAACAAACATAAAGTCATCGGCGTAAAGTTCTCCAAGTTGCAGCTATGAATTTTGTAATATTCATATATTATAAAGATGGCTAAAATCAAAATCATTTATTAATTTAATTTTTTTAAGTTGGATTTCATGGAAAAAGGTTTATTAGTTGATTTTTTGAAACCTACTAAAGATATTAAATACATAGTGATATTATGGTTTGATACATTTCATTATTTTTGCAAATTCTTCCAGAAATTACAATCCAATAATAATAATAATTCTTACTGTATCAAATATTACATTTTACATAAAATTAAAATAGCTTTCAGTTAGCTGCAGTTATAAATTGTAATATTAGCCACAATTTACCTTCAACTTACAGTCACTCCACGAGTTAAGTTTTTTTTATTTAGGGTGAATCTACTACACTCTAAATGTTCACAATTATTTTCATAAATGAAGTACCTTTATTAACATAAAAAAGGATAACAAATTGCTCTAGCATTATTTCGTAATACACACTAAATTTAAACAGTTTTGAAACTCATCCTGTTTATAATGAGACTATTTCCTTATTTTCAAATGAAATTAGAAACTTAATGTCACGTTTGAGGATGTCATTAAAAATAGACAAATAACTTTAAATTCCAATAATTCATTTTTTGTAACTGCTTATCCAATAGCAGTGGCTCCTGTAATAAAGTGGCTTAACTAAATTCTTTTAAATTGAAAACATCCATTATACTAGGCGTGAGTCATATGATTTTTCTAGTTATGTTGAGTGGATTTAATTACATGTTCATACATAGATTAAATAGCAATTGCATTGTCAATATTGCTTTTAACTATTGTAACAAATATCTTTTTATACTGCGATTCCTGTTGATAATTTTTCTATTTCTATTTCTGGTACGATTCATATTCTCTTAATGTCCATTAAATGACCCTAGTAATGGTAAGTAATAAATACAATGGTAAATTAGATCCATTCCTATTTTACAGCTAATATTTATTCTCATATTTATTTTTCACAGGGTCAAGGAATTAAATTGAAGGGTGTAACAAGTGGATCTTTGAGAGACAAGATATACTTAAAATATCTTATCTCAAAATTTTTTTTCCTTTCCATGAGTGTTACTCTAGTTAGGTATATAAGCTAATCCTGATTCATAAATTAAGACAGTGAAAGGTTTGTAATATGTTTCAGTTGTCAACAAATATTTTTAACGCTTAAACTTTTTTTAAAGGGAGAATAGATCCATCGATCCTATTACTAATTATCAAGAATCGTATGAAAAATGATGGCGATGACTAAAATCATACGAGAAAACAACAAAATGTAAGATGTTACCAAATTGAATATTTTTAGTCTTAACCAAATTGGATATTATCAATTTATACGTACTATGGAATTTGTTGTGAGTGGTGTATGACATATCACATCATATTTTAGATTTTATCATCACTTTCACTGACTATGTAGAACTATGAGAGATATTCTATAAAGTAGTATATATAGTTGGTCGACGAGTGCAATGTTTTTTTTGACAGATCGAAAACAATGAAATTTCAAGTAAGTCACAAGTAAGCAGTGAAAAAATTGTTTCTACAAAATATGCATTTGAAAATAGAAAGATTTAACATTGAAATAATAAATCCTTATAAAATTATTCTTATTTCACATTCTTCAATGCCCTTATTATCCTGACCTAAAGTTTCATAATAACTCCATTTTTTCAGCGTAAAATTTTCACAGTAAATTCTATACAACGGACAAAATTTCAATTTTCAACCGTTTTGCTTCTAAGCTGTATATAGAAACTTATTGTTACCCGTTCAAAAATGACAATTACCATAAGTATAAAAAATGTTTAAAATAAGTATTATATTTTTTTTCCAGCAGCATTTAACCAACCAACTTAAAGATTTATAAGCTTATCGAAAATCCTATTAATCAGAGATCGGAAAATATATGACTGAACGTGCTACAGAGTATTCAACTCTACTATACGAGAAGAACCGATTTTTCCACTGCTTCAATAGGACGGATGCGTCCATGGAAAAATACTCTCTGGCGTCCCTAATCTATAAATTACATACAGTTCTACAAGTGTCTGTAGTAGTAGGTATAGTTTCGTAGCCAGATACCAAGGCAAGATACTTGATGGAACGGAATGATTTGAACTTTGAAATGTAGTCAAAGCAACCAAAGGTCAAATGATAGGCACGTCCAGACGATCCACGAGTTAAATAACTTAAAGTGACAGATGGGAACACGTGTGTCATGCTAAGAACTCCCTCCGTAGAAAAATGTTTCATTGCCAATAGTTTTTGGCAAAGAGTAATGTGTGGCAAATCAATGAAAATCAATGGAATTTGGCAAAAAAACCATTAGCAATTCAAAATATTTGGTACTCGTGATTTGACCTAATGGTCAGAAAGCCAAATGTACTACAGCACTGAAACGAAACTCCGCAAATGTTTAATCTTCAGAAATTTTGAATAGAATAATAATGAATTTACAAAGCCTAGATAAACAAATTAAAAATAGCGACGCTATTTATCTGCATTAATCTTTATTATCAATGAATGGAATGTAAAATTAAAAATTCGCGCTCTGCGCATTATCCCATCGCATTCTGCCTTTTGGGCGTGGTGCCCAAGCGTGGGCGTAAGGCCTTGAGAAAATAGTTATCCGATAACACAAACAGCGGTAGAGAGAATTGCAGCGAAATGACTATTTTCCTCATGTCAAAGGGTAATTTTCCATGGTGATAATTCATTAATCATAAAAGAACGTGAGTCATGCAACATAACAATTGATCTTAAGCATTATGAGTACTCTTTATTAGATTTTCTAATCGCAAGTATCACCCAACCACTTAACTTTTCCTGTCAAAGTCCGCATGATTACTATTTGAAAAGCCGAGGGTCACTTTCACTGTTCAAATTATAGCAATGCACAAATGAGAATGCACCAACATGCGCGGGCTTTTTCCCGATTGGTTCATGTGTCCTGTCAACGTTTATCAGATGATGTCTGAGCGAAATGGTGGGATAAAGATGTCGACCTAGTCTCTGTAACACGTTAAGACGCTACAATAATAACATACCTGTCTGGAAATATGCATGTAATATAGGTAGTCAGATGTCCCCCTCTGTCGATAACACATTTCGGAATTTCGAAGCAAAGTGTACCAACGCCCTTCAAACACTTATCAGTTGCTCTTGCCATTGGCTAAAATTGGTCGACTCATTTTATCAGCTTATTCCACTCTGTACGGTGTGCGCGCCGTCAACCGTCTGCTGCAGCCTCGTGCTTCCCTTCTCTTGGGTTCTCAGTTGTGTTTCTGCATTCAAACTGAGAATATCGCTCTTAGGCAGCACAGAAGGATTTCTTTCATTTCCAGCAAACAATTATTTGCATCAACGACAATAATGGCAGCTAAGCAACGTGTTTGTATCATCGGCTCCGGTAATTGGTAAGCACAGACTATTGTTAATTCATTGGGCTTTCCTGTACTTGCTGAATTTTCATTGATTTACACGTATCACATCATACAGCACGCATTTCCCACCATTTTAAAGACGTCGCGACTACCGACGATGCTCTTTAATTAAATATTGTCAATGTGTCTCGTGACAGTAACTTGTGCCGTGCTTATTCCTCAATATCGAAGTACATAATATTCCCAATGGGTAATGTTCCATTACTGGAATCGCCTGCTCTTCAACACTTCACGACTTGACCTTAAAATAGACTTAAGTGTGATCTTTATGGTGCTTCATAGCAGACAACCTTACTTCTGCAATTCTCTGCTCTTTTGGAACGGAACTCAGTCATGTCATGAACTTTAGTCATTTATACAAAGTCCATTTAACATCTATATATACAGAATTGTCACAAGATATAAATATCAGCAATTTCAAATATTTATAATCTGAAACATATTGACTATAGATTTAAATGCATTCTAATTAAGATCAGTGAGAAGTTGATAGTTCAGGCTATTTTTAATTTCTTCTCTAAATCTTTACGGTACATACACAATTCACGGTTTCCCCACTTGCAATAAATCCACTCTAGGCGTATACAATATTTATGATGTAATTCATTAATTCAACAAAAATTTGTTCATAAAGGGGTTCAGCCATAGCCAAAATCGTTGGCTCAAATGCTGAGAAACTGCCGATTTTTGAAGATCGTGTCACCATGTATGTTTACGAGGAGATTGTAAATGGAAGAAAATTGACTGAACTTATCAACGAGACTCACGAGAATGTCAAGTATCTACCAGGTCATATTCTTCCTGCAAACGTGGTAAGTCAAATATATCTATAATGAAATTTAAATTTAAACGTACAGAGATATCCATAAACATGATCAAGCATAATCTACACTGAAGATGTAAAAATTAATTATTCAGCGATATAATTCCTCGACACGTTGCGATTGATCTAAAGTGACTTTTTACGATTCGAGAATCAATTTTATTTAACGATAATAACAAAATCGTGTAAGCAGAAAATGTCGTGAATTTAGAATTTATAAATATCAAGTATTTTAGTTTATATGTAATGTTGAATATACGTGCAGGTGCATATAAACTAAAAATAATATGCATAAACCACATTATCACTAATTAGGGGATGTATTTATTTGTCTTTTAAATTTAATATATCAGGTTTATTAAAAAATCCAAAAATATGTTGTTTTTCATTGGCCAAAAATTCAAAAGAGCCGGTTATGCATATTTGAAGGATTATATAAACGACACCCAGTGTGTAATTACTTTTCCGGTCTGCCTTCTCTATAATTCTGGGTCATGGTCACGTTTAATAGTTGCTAAAGGCCAGAAGCATCTCTTTGATTGAGCTCCAGCAAACAAAGTGTAACATTTATATATCGGCAATGCTACAATTTCCTCCTGAAAAATATAGCAGTTATATTAATAAGATTTTGTATAGAGATTTTAGGCTTTCGCGGGCAATATTGTCATTTACACGGTTTACAAATATTGGCCGTTAGAAAATCAATATCAGTGTTACTTTTATCACGAGAGTACACTACTACAAGGTCTGGATGAAGGGTGTACCATCCTGACAAAAATGAATATTGAGAATTTTAATATTTTGTACTGCAGGACGTAATAGTATATACAAAATCTTTAGTACTCATAGTTTCCGGATGGAAGCCGCGTCTGTGTTCAGCTTCGTGCCGACGTTTCGCAAACGTGTCAGTCTGCATCTTCAGGGCTAGGAGGCTCCGATACTGAACTCCCTGTTGTCAGGAAGTCTTAATATACCTATGGTTGCTCATGCGGATCAGTGCTTCAGCCAATCATAAGTTGTTTTTAGTTGATCAGCTGATCAATTAAAGAATTTTAAATTTAAAAAAATTTTAATTGGTCAGCTGATCAACTGAGCAACCATAGGTTGCGAAACGTCGGCACGAAGCTGAACACAGACGCGGCATCCATCCGGAAACTATGAGTACTAAAGATTTTGTATATACTATTACGTCCTGCAGTACAAAATATTAAAATTCTCAATATTCATTTTTGTCAGGATGGTACACCCTTCATCCAGACCTTGTAGTAGTGTACTCTCGTGATAAAAGTAACACTGATATTGATTTTCTAACGGCCAATATTTGTAAACCGTGTAAAAAATATTTCTACAGTAGTAGAAGTATTCTTTTTATTATTCGCATAGCCACGGTGAACCATTTGCATTCTTGAAATTGCTCTTAACATGATTTGCCAATCATGCATAAGAATTTATGTTTTGCCCCAATCAGACCCGAAAGTTGATTCCTCAAATTATCCCAAGGTCGCCGTTGGTCACTGACTTCTTACGATGACCCACGACCAAAATATTCACAATCACGTATTACATTTATATTCTTTTGGTCGATTTTCTCACGTGATGATTATACACGTATAGTATATCACTCTACGCAATGTAGTTGCTTTATATAATACATATACCAATAATAGCATAATAGATATTTTAAATTTATTTCATTATTACATTGCCCCTAAAAATATGCTTGTCTACAAAAGTACAAGAGTGACGCGTTTCTAAAAATTTCAAGTTATTCCTGCCCACGATTTTACATAGGCTAAACTTCTAGTCTCTTCAAGGTCGCTGATTATAAAGTTTATAGCCAGTACTTTTAACGTAATCGTATATGTATTATAGAGCGTGAATACCGTCACTCTATAAACCTAGGCAAACTTCCTGTAGCAAAATCTGCTATTGCCAATGGCCATTTGTTAAATGTAAATGATGGTTTTACGTTGATTTACATTGATTTGTCGCTCGTTACCTTTATCCTAAAACATTGGCAGTGTGAAATTTGCCTAGGGGTTTATTTCTTGTTATTGTTATCTGCTGTATGGGACTATAATTTATATAACGTGAATAAAAACCTTATCGATTAAAAAAAAGTGGAAAAACTAAAAGTCTTCTAGAAAAATAAAAATTGTTAATTCAGGATCTGTTCGAGGTAATCAATTTTAACAAGCCTTTGTCACAAGTATCAGCAAACGTCACCTGTCATTGCTATAAACGTGCATAAGCATGCTTTATCATTATTTTTTTTTAGTCATGATTACAACAACTCTCAGATTATGATGCAAGAGCAATTGGCAAATGTCGGTGGAATAACTAAATTGTATGTGTGACGAACGAGCAACTTTACGTGATTCACTTATATGACTTAGGATATAAAAAAATTTTTTTCTTTGTTGGTCGTTGAAATGATTTCACTAAGAATTACATTGATGAAATGTTTCCCAGGTTGCTGTTCCCGATGTCTTGGAGGCTGCCAAGGATGCGGATATTCTTATCTTCGTGGTGCCCCATCAGTTTATACAGAGGATATGCAGCACCCTTTTGGGTAAAATTAAACCCACGGCAATCGGACTCTCTCTTATTAAGGTACCGAAGTTTCGCCTGGAAAAATCAATAATACACGTAATATATAGTATATTGTAGGAAGACCTTCTAAAAATACATATCGTTCAATGTTACACAGGGATTCGACAAGAAGGACGGAGGTGGTATCGAGTTGATCTCCCACATCATCTCCAGGGAACTTCATATACCTGTGTCTGTTTTAATGGGCGCTAATTTGGCTGGCGAAGTAGCCAATGAAATGTTCTGTGAGACTACCATAGGTAATTTGTTTCAGTAGGCTTTTATTTTGTTTTTTGTTCTGCACATGGGGCTTGATAGAGAGACTGTGTGACTCGAGCTAGGAAATAGTGATTAACGCTTATCGCTTTCTAGGGTGAATATTAGATGTTAAAAATGCACTGCCCGAAAGAACCATTTGTGTTTATTGAAGCAACTGAGAAAAAGACTATCTTATCGGACTTATCATGAGCTTGAAAAGGGACCAAAGTCGGTTCGTGACTTTTAAGACTGGTCTCAATGTTGATATTTGTTTCTTGGGGTATGATAAAACTATTATTAGAATTTCGTTTTTATGATTTGGATGAGCCATGTTGATGAGCGATGAGGGTTCACTGAATTCCTTATAGTTGAACTTTAAAATATCAAGAGAATGAAAACGTTCTTCTGTCGTTGATTCGGATATTTACTGAACATTATAACTGTATTAAATTACAACGTATTACGCTTCATTGCTATATAACGTTGTTATATAACTGATACTATATGTTGATGCGACACCATTGCTTAATCCAGGTTGTCAGATAAGCTTATCTATTTTATTGTTCGTTATTTAACGACACGTCACAGCCGCAATAGTACTGACGTTTATTGTTTACATCTCATTTTTATTTTTATAATAAATATGGTAATTCGGGATTAATGCACCACCTGAAGATAGTTCTGTTCATTTGATTTTTATTAATTTTCACGGTAAACCATGTTCAAATGGTCAAACAGTCCTGAATAATCTTATATAATCATATAAAATTGTATATAATCAGATTAAAAATTTGTATCTACCTGTTCACATTTAAAATTTTTTAAGAGTATACTTTGAAAATGTGTGTTACTACCTGCATTATCTTGTAAATGTGATAAAGCTTAGCGGGCTTAGTATGAAATTATCAATACTAGCAATTAATACTAAGATATAAACATAATCTATTTGGTAATTGATAGCGCCATGATCATAACCAAGTCGAACAATATCAGTCAGCACGATGAAGTAAAATAAATTTTTTTTAGGATGCAAGGATGAAGAAAAGGCACCCATCCTGAGAGATCTTATTCAGACTTCGTACTTCAGGGTAGTTGTTGTCGAGGATGTTGATTCCGTAGAGTGCTGCGGAGCATTAAAGGTACAGTAGATACTTGAAAATTATATAATCAGGAAAAATGTTTTGTCGAACGATTAATGGGACTCTTGACTATTCTCAGAACATCGTAGCTTGCGGCGCTGGTTTCGTCGATGGCATGAATCTCGGCGACAATACGAAAGCTGCTGTGATTAGACTTGGTTTAATGGAAATGATCAAATTTGTTGACGTTTTCTTCCCTGGAGGTAAACTCAGCACCTTCTTCGAGAGTTGCGGTGTTGCCGATCTGATTACCACCTGTTACGGTGGACGTAATCGTAAAGTCTCTGAAGCATTCGTGAGGACGGGCAAGGTCAGGAAGGAATATTTTAAAAAATGAGAACTTCATCAAAGTTTCTTTTGGATGTTGTTTGATGCTAAAATGTTATTGCTATTTTTTTTAGAGTATCGATACACTAGAGAAAGAAATGCTCAATGGTCAGAAACTTCAAGGACCGTTCACCGCTGAAGAAGTGAATTACATGCTGAAGGCAAAAGACATGGAAAGTAGGTTTCCTCTGTTTACGGCTATTCATCGAATTTGCATCGGTGAACTAAAGCCTACAGACCTTATCGACTGCATTCGCAGCCATCCAGAACACATGTAAGCCATTCACAATTAGTTCCCAATATCGAATGCTGTGTTCCTCGCTGATTGAGTGATACAATGTTGATTAGAGCTTTGAGTTCTCACTTGCTTAAATTGCGTTTGAATTAATACGAGGAAACAGTCAAAATAAAGACGAGTCTTACTACGATGAGTCTCGCACGATGAAAGAATTAGGATTAGTAAGATTCATAATTAACAAATAGTTTAACCTAGACTTGAACTGTGCAGGTTCAGTTAGGGCGAAAACGTGAGATGAAGTAGTGAAAAATATTATTCGACTATAAGAATGAAAACTCAAGATAAATACAGTAGATTCTCGTATAACGCGGTTAATACGTTACGCGCTATGTAAATTCGCGTTTTAGAAAACTGTGTTGTACGCGAATTTTTCTCGTACAGCGCGCATGATCTAAAGTAATATATTTGAAATAAATTATTACTATGCCAACTTTTATTTATTGTTTTGTCATATAGGACAGTTTTTGAAAATAAATGGCATATATACGAAGTTGATTAAAAAAACATATTAATGTATGTAAAATATCTTTTATTTCATTGAAATTTAAGAAAAATGTAATTATATAAATTTATATATTTTTTTGAAGATTTTTAAATTGAAAAATACTTTTGCAATCTTGATTATTTGTCACTGTCCAAATCGTCGAAAATCATGTTCCAATGTCTTCGTTTTGGTGAAAGTAAATATTCATTTCCAATTGTTAAATCAATTTCACTTACAGGTTCTTCAATCTTTTCAATGAATCTATTATCTTTCTTTATTATATTTGCTGTATTTATTTCCAGTTCTTTTTATAGTCTTGAATATATATATTTTAAATATTTAAATTCTTTAAATTTAAATGGAGAACAATAATGTAATGGCCAACTAAAGCAGATTTAATTCTTAAATCAGCTAATTCTTGTGTTTCATTATTTACATGTGTTACATGAAAATAGTAGTCTCAACATCTTTGGCGCGTTATAGGAATTCGCGTTGTAAGAACTCGCGTTATACCGGAGTCTACTGTAAACGTTTAAAAATTAAATTTTGTTTGCATCATAGAATATTTGAATTCTATGACGTTTTAATTACAGCAAAAGTCGCTTATGAGATACCAAAAGTATATTATCTATATGCAAATTTATACATATAACCCTAATTATCATCGCGGAAGTCATTGAAACGAAAAGGTGCATATATAAAGTAGAAATTACTTGTTAATAATTGTTAATCTTAAAAGGCGTATCAAAATTTACGATCTTTATCACTTCTTTATACATATATTTTTGAATTTTGAAAACATGTTTTATTTCCGCTTGTCAGGATCACCCGTAGCTCAATATTATTTTAGTATTTTACATTAAGTATAATTACTTTTTTGTGCAGCAGTAGAAATATCATTTTCAAAAATGTTAATCGTATATTATACTTGAATCAAAAACTAAAACGATATTACACATTCAGTTTAGCAATGGAACGTAAAAACTCTCAACCCACTCTTGACCATTTAACCACATTCGCTATATCTCGAAATATTATTTAACCTTACTTTTTTAAATTCCACCAGACACATTCCTATCTTATTTTCTTCTATGTTGAGTAAGCATAATCGTTGTATTGTAATTATCTCAAGTTACCATATGTAAAGTAGTCACGAGTCACACTTATAGAATGGCTTTAAATACGATACTACAGTTTTCCACATTCTACTGGAAACTTAATTTTCTTTTCATTTCTCAATTAGTCTACCATATCGTATGTAATAACATTGGCGCGGATTGAAAATTATTTAAATTGAGAATCATCACGTGTAAAACATCACGTTGATAGGCATTAAAGAGGATATTAAAACAAGGATGGGCTGGATAAAACAAATTATCATGCACGAATTAGTTCTTGTGTAGCGTTAAGAATTTAAACCGAATTAAACATCACGAAGCCCGTGGGGCTGATGTTTGTAGCCAAAATGTTACCATTGGAAAGAAAAAAAATGTACCTTTGTCAGAATGTCGATTTCTGATAATTCTAAATTGTTATTGAATGTTATAAAATCGAAGAGCAAGTATGTACGAAGATAAATATACGAACTCTGTTTGTTAAGATCAACTTTTTAATTTATACATAATAAATTATGTTCATCCTCTCCTTATCAATGATACATAGTATGTAGAGTTATCTTTGGTGTTTTTTTCTACTTATTTTATTTCTTTTTTTCTGTATCGCTACTATTAATAACCTGCTGCTTGACTGCTGCGATAAGAATAAGAATCCATTTTGTTAAGCTAAATGACATCTTTTGATTCTTATTCATTTTGCATCGTCTTCGGTACTAATATGAGCAGATTGTGCTGGTGCGTTTTCATGTGGCCATCCTAATCAAAAATGTAGTCAGAAATTAGAGAGTGGATATCCCTCTTAAATATATTAATTTAAGTTCGTATTTAGGGATGATGGTGATAAAAGGCCGAGCGCGCCAGTCTCCTCGCCGAAGTGTCATCTGTGAAGAGTTTTTTCTGCATGAGAAACGAAGATACCAAAACGTGATAAATACATTTCAAGAAGTTTCCTCGACCTAATAAAGTTACTCGGACTGCATTTTTGTACGGGTTAAATATACACAAATCCTACGTAAGGATCGCTTGTAAGTGAAATTGGGTACCCATTTGTACGCAACGTGTGAGGCGATTGCATCATATTAATTTTTTTATAAACAGTAAACAATGTTTTTGCATTTGAAGTATATATTAATCAGTATCGGGTTACTTAACCCGTAACTACACAGGTTCAATTTTAGGAACGTACTTTACAAGGTGAGGTATGTGAGACCACAATCTATGGAACCCGATTGTAGAACTATCAAAACGAATAGAATAATTCAAAAGTAGAGTTTAACGTCGCTCACCTCGTATTTTAAACGAATTTAATGACCAAGTATTAAGTAATAATTATCTAGTAGGTTTTCTATAATTCGTTGAAAATTTACGCAGAAAAATTCGGCAGGAGGGCTCAACATAAAATTGGTGAGGTCTTCGAGATCGCACGTGTGTAGTTAAGGGTTAAGTCTCTTATATCACTGGAAGTCTAAAAACGTGATAAATTATCATCCGAAGAATTTCGAATTTATATTAACGTTTATATTTTTGTACGCTTTAATTAAGAAAATTTCTTTATAGTACTAAGCTGTCAATAAGTGTTTTAATTGATACAAAAAATTTAATTCGTGTCGTATACTGTAATCACAAATTGAAAGCGCGTTGAGACTTCTAATGCATAATACCGATAGATCACAGTAATGATTATAAGACCATTATTCTGCTGTCATTCCATCGTCATTGGTAATTCATTGACTAATTACCATTAAATATATATGTACTTGACTCCGTGTAATATTTTATCATAGTTATCATATTGCTAATTTTAACACAGCTTGGTTACGTCCGACTATTGCGTTTCGTCTGGCGCCATTCCAAGATTTGCGCCAACTAAATGGCAGTCGCCAAAAAATCATTCGAAGATCGTCGCTAAGGTCAGTAAAGCTTGAAGTAAGTCAGTAAGACAGTCAGTCAGTTGGTCGATCTCCGCAAGGTAACCTAGACCGAAATTCCAACAGCCGGTACTACAGTTTCGTAATTGGTGAATTTCTCAAGTCAATTTTCAGTGCTCTTTCTAACAGATTCATCAATAATGCCGCGAACTAAAAAGAAGGTGTGCATCGTAGGAAGTGGCAATTGGTAAGTAACAGCAAAAAGTAGAAAGACTGAATAAATTATGACAACATATCACCATCACAATATGACGACAGCTTTCATTATTATGCAGAATTTTGTGGGGATAAAGAAAATAACATTTTTTAATTTGTAGATGCACATACCAGTCGATGAAGTATATCCGTCATTTGTGTATTCAACTGTGGGTACGTTAAGAAATTCACTGCCAGCACCGCGAGCATGGTTATGTCTCACTCTGCTGCATGCAAGTAGACAGGGACAATGATACTTATAGTACTAGCAGTGAATTCTTAATTACAATTGGCTAGAACTTTGAGAACAGATGGAATACTTTTCTTGATACAAATAGAAATTTCTGTGCAGCTGCATACCCAAGCTTAGCCCATCTTTTATAAGCACCTCACACGACTGACGACTAGAATAGAGGATTTATTTAACAAGATCAAAAACGCGTGTGACTTTGACCAAAAGACGGTATATTTGACTTTGGCACAGTGCTTGTTCCAGTTAAATGCGACTAGGACGGTATTTAACTTGAAAGTATCACGTAACATGTACAAAACCTAAAGGGCAATGTCAAGTGCAGTAATGAGTGGCTCCATAGAACAACTATAACGTCTGGTACTTATGGAGGATTGGTTGTGCAATCTTGACGTAACCATTATGCATAAAAACATGATTTCTGCTGCAATCATAACACTATGAATTGATATTCAGCATCATATAGCTATCTATACGTATGTATAAGTATTACAATGCGTCGTTTAAGATCAACATTATTTTTACATTCCTACCCGGAAGACTTTAGATCAGAACTAAAAAAATCCTGACAAAAAGAGAGCGCTAAATTTTAATTTCTCAATGAGTTTGAAGTTTTATCATTTAATTAACACATGCAAATTTTTTATTTTTCATTACTATTTAAATATCTTGAACGTGTCTTTTGTCATGAAATTCTGCAAATTTTTAAGAGAATTCAATTTCCTACCGAAACGTCCATTGATACAGGCTTGTAGATTATATCATTTGGAGGTTTAAAATAATTCTTCTGTATCTCTCAGCGCACGTGTAACCCACGCTCTGTCGAACACTTGCTCTATGACGGCGGAGCGGAGGCTCCGTAATATTGCTCTACTGCCAGTTACACCGTCTCAGAGCCCCGATATGCGATTGAGATACCTTCTCACCTTGGAGAAGATTTAATTATGGAAATAATTTGGACTGTTCACAGGGGGTCAGCCATAGCAAAAATTGTCGGTGCAAATGTCGTTAAATTCAATAATAAGTTCGAGGAGGAAGTCACCATGTACGTCTACGAAGAGATGATCAACAATAAGAAGCTCACGGAAATTATAAATGAGCAGCATGAGAATGTCAAGTATCTTCCGGGACATAAACTTCCTGCGAACGTGGTATGTATCTATCCTTATTCCATTTTTAAAAATTTAATAATCGAGACGTCCCGAGCACGGCGCCACTGTCGCAAAAACGTGCGGTCAAACAGAAACAGCATTGTGCCATTTCAATAGAAAACTTCAGGGAAACATACATTTCTGAAAAAGTTGCGCTGGAATAAGTTGATTTCTCTTAATCACTAATAAACTTTAATGTCTCCTCAGAGGGGACATTCGAGTGATATGCTAAAATTACGATGTCCCTCAGAGGGGACAATGGAGTGCAAAGGTGATGATTATCTTTTCTTAAATTAAGTTTTAATGAATCAGTTTCTTAGGAAATTTTATCCGAGAAAACGCATTCAGCAGTTTTTAAGTAAGAACATTCTTTGAGGTCTAAATTGACGTAGAATCGTTTGGTGGTTATAAATAAACTAGTAAAAAGGTTTGGTGGTCATTCATTCAGATGGAAATCAGATTCAGTAACTTAGTACCACCATTAATGCACTGCGGCTTTATGGAATTCTTGTACTTGGCATAGTTTCTTACACGTAAGTCTTCTTTTGGGAGGATATTCTTTACTACTGCCAGTCATTTACTCTGATGTCCGACGTCATTTAAATCAATGTTGATTTCAGACGATCTTTCCACAGATGTGCCAACGCAAGGTAGTGTCGGGTTAAGAAAATAATAATAAAAATACCAGGAACGTTAATGATATAATAACATATATTTAACACGTGAATAACAGATATACATTTACAAATTTAAAGACAAATAATTCTACTGAAATGTTATCACTCGTGTCTACACTGCTCAATAGTCCGTTGTAGTACGGACGTAAACCTTGCCGGACGGCATAGAGACTCTGTCGACTCCACCTGGGAAGAGTCTTTGGACCTCCGATTCCTTGACAGTGGGAAGGATCATGACCTTCTCTCCAGGCTGTGAAAAAAAAAATCAATTTCCATTAGTCATAGTATTAGTACGAACATAGTATATAATTTTAGAAAAGATCAGAGATCGAACATACCACCCAATTAGCTGGAGTAGCAATTTCTGGAATACGGTCAACCAACTGAAGAGAATCAATGACACGTAGAATCTCACTGAAAAAGTATATATAATATGAGATAAAAAATTCGGAATTGTCAGAATATAAGTTATTTTTTTTTATTCATTTTTTTTTTGTGATACTTACTCAACGTTGCGACCAGTAGAAGATGGATAGTGCATAGAAAGACGGAGCCGATGGTCAGGGCTAATTACATATAGGGCTCGGACAGTCATTGCCAAGTTAGGATCACTTTTACTCTCCTCGTCAATCATATCCAATTTAACAGCCAGATCCCGGTCATGGTCCGCGATGATAGGGTAGGGGAAGCTTCCAGGAATATCCTGACAGTAAGACTTGATATCCTGTAAGTAATATTATATAGTTCAAAGCACTTTGGAAAAGCGTTAAATTAAATTTAAGTAAAACTTTCTTCACTTACGTTAACCCAGTCCACGTGGTCCTTCAGCTTGTCGACAGAGTGAGCTAGTAGTTTGGTATTACGACGATCAAAGTGGGGTTGATGAACAGCGAGACGACCGAGTTCGGTGGTACAAACAGGAGTGAAATCAGCAGGGTGAGAAAACAATACGACCCATCTGGAAGGATATTTTGAAATATATTAATAAAATTCCTATAAAGTACATTGAAGGATCAAAGCTATTTTCGTATTAAAATTGTATCCTTGAGCGATCGAGTCTTCGATATATCATCGTACATATTGACACACCGATATTATGTCAAGGTTTATTACAGCTCTCGGATATCACTGACACCGAACCAACTTTACCAGTTTTACTGGTACAGTATCGAAGGTAGAATATTTAAGTATTGTCAAGGTTGAACTTACGATTAGCATACCAGATTAATAAATCAAGGAAAAAAAATATATTTATTTCGAATGTGTACTTACGAGTTCCCTTGCCAGTTATAGAAGTCAATCGGACCTTGAGTCGTCTCCGCGTGGAAGTTGGGAATGATGGTGTTCAGCCTCATTGTAAACTGAGTCAAGAGTCCCTTAATCTCGTAGTAGAGAGAAGTAAATTGTCCTCGAGTTATACCAATGCGTCGGTATAGAAGTCTGAGTTTGACTGATGTAGTTTAGCTGCTTTCAGCGCTTATATGTCATGTTGTCCACGGATAGTCCCCCATTCTTATTCAGCTTTGCAGCGTCAGAGTGATTGAATGAAGTGCAAGATTATCGAACTCGTCCAGTGATAAACCGCGAGGCAGAGTTGCAACTTATTTGTGTTTAATAATAATATGTTTTTCTTATTTCCTTTGATAAAAGTCCTTTTGTAATTTTTTATGAGAAAAATCTTTTAGCTTTGATAATATTAAACGTAATTGATGTAACATAATCATTTATTTATTTTCAAAATGATTTTATCGATCGTAGATCTATCTGAGACTTATCCTTAAAAATCTTTCCGAATTACGGCACATGGGACTGAGTTATACCATCAATAGATGATTTTTAGGTTAACTTTAAAAACAAAGATGTGAATTCACCATATAAAATGTTTGTAGTATTGATCGTTTTTGTTTATAGAGAAGTTTATTCGTCGGCTGAACAATAGGTTGTCATTTTTAAACGATCAACACTACGAAAAATTAATTTGGCAAATTTGCAGAGAAACTTACAAAAAACAGGGAGAATTAAAATCGATACAAAATTACAGTTTATTCTTTGAAAAAAACTCAACGAAAATTTACCTCTATGGAAGTTAGCATTGATCACTTAATGCTTTAGCAAATACATTACTGTTAATGTTTTTCTAGGTTATGGACAGGTTCTGTATTACAAATCGCCCTTCGCTACCTTCAATTAATACATTCGAGTTTGAGCTTCGTTGTAAAAATTTAGCCCTCGTTTGGCCAGTGTGCAGCGCAATAGCTACCTTCAATGAGTCTAAAATACTGTTTGGGCTTGAACTATTAAACATTGTTATAGTGACTCTACCGAGTCAAATTTACTTTTTTTATGGACACGAGGTCTATTATTTCTACCCAGCTATTTGTAATTCCCGCGTCAAACATCATATTCGCTAATCATGACAGTATTTCAGAAATTTAATTGGAGAATCTTATTTATTCGTAAGTTTGGATTAATCAGTTATTACAAGTTCCGTTGTTACTTATAGCGCCATTGCAATTCAATATTATTATTAATTTCTGATACTGCGTATAATTAGTTATCAATATTAGAGATGTGTGCTTTTAATTCAAGTCATCGTTTGTAGTGTCAGCTCTTCTCCCACTTAACATCAAAGCGAATACAAACTCCAGTGGCGTAATCAGCCAGTAGGTATCGCGATGACTGAAAGAAAACCGTCGTCATTCCCGGCTTCTAAGGCTGAAAGTAAGCGGCGTGATTCATCATGATTTAAAACTCCGAATGCCGTCGCCACTGGACAGCATTATTCTGCAGGATGACGGCGCAAAGTAGAATTATGTTAGTTGCTCGATGCAACTAGCTTCAGTCACGATTTTAATTTCAAACGGCTACAATCGTTACTCCTCCAATCTTTTCCTGACAGTTTTTTAAGAAGTATATACTAAAAATAATATCCGTATATCATATAACTTTAAAATAGGTTAGTTACTCAAAATTCTCGATTCGTCAAGACAAACTCGTGTAGGCGAAACACGTTTACGAAACGTGTGCGGAAATCCGAATGGAAATCCTGGCCTCGGTTATAGAGTCTTATGGATCAATGCCAAGGCATTTTCTTTGACGTAGAAAAAAATAGTACACCCTGTTAAATCATTGTTACACGTGGATTTTTAGGTGGCCGTGCCTGACGTGGTGAATGCCGCCAGGGAAGCTGACATTCTTGTTTTCGTGATACCTCATCAATTCATCAGAACACTATGCGCTACTTTACTCGGAAAGATCAAGCCTACGGCTGTTGGTCTATCACTCATCAAGGTTCTGTAGAAAATTTTTTCTTTTTTCTATGTCTGCAAATTTGCGAATTAATTTTCATTTTCAATTAATCCATTAAAGGGCTTCGATCAAGGCGATGGCACGAGCATTGAGCTTATTTCGAAGATCATTGAAAAACACTTGAATATACCATGTTACGTGTTAATGGGTGCCAATCTAGCTAACGAAGTGGCCGAAGAAAAATTCTGCGAGACGACCATTGGTGAGTTTTCATAATCTAAATATTTATACAGGTAATAAAAATAATATTTTGTCAATTAATGGGAAATTCCTAGCAAACACAAAACACAGCTGTTACGTAACTTAGATTGATATAGATCAACGTAACAATGTTACCGTGACCTAACGTTATTGCAAATTCCAACGCTATTTAAACTTAACAAAAGCTGTATAACTTTAATCTAATTTAATTTCATTCCTGGTACACTTTATGAATTTTGATTTCTTTTCATAAAAGTATGTCTGCTAGGTGACAGCAGGAATACGAAATAATTGTCAATTTAACGTCTTACTTTGAGCTTTATGAATAATTACTTTACAGTTATGTAACTGTGTTTTCTGGATATAATATGTTCAATATTTAACGTTCAGGCTGTAAGGACAAAAGGTTGGCACCATTATTGAGAGACGTCATTCAAACTCCAAACTTTAGGGTAGTCGTTGTTGAGGATGCTGAGGCTGTTGAAGTTTGTGGTGCTCTTAAGGTAAAGTTTATTTCATAAATTTTTTAATTTTTCCTTAATAACAGGGTTGTTCTTCCGAAGAGGACACACCGATTTCAAAATATAGCTTTTGCCTATTTAAAGTAGCAGTCGAAGTGAATTCGTACTCAAAGTTTGATCCACGGCAAATTTTTGGCCGTTTCGAGGTTAGGATAGCTTAGAATTTAAATATTATGATATTTTAGGATATATTGGGATGTTTTGGGCAATTCTAAGTACAGAAGAACAATGCATTCGAATAATAATCGTTAACTCGTTTCACATGCTTGGTATACATAGTTCATGTACACAAACCAATTTATAAAAATTCGACGGTTAAAAAACTGTTGATCCGTAATATTAGAATCGCCATTTTATATTTAGAAAGTTTTATATCAAATTCCGAATCAGCGACCCCAAAAACCTAAATAATGAAATCAATTGAATTCGAGAATTTTTCTTTCCCACACTGGTGGCAAAGAAACTTGATTTTTGTTACTTTGTGAAGAAGTATGAACCAATTTTAAGTTTTACTTTAAGCATGTAAAAGCTATTCAAATCGACGTGTCCCGTTCGGAAGAATATTGAATAATTGCACTCATCGACTATATTTAAAAATACTTTTATTTCAATTCAGAATATCGTCGCTTGCGCCGCAGGATTTGTAGATGGCCTTGGACTAGGTGATAACACGAAAGCTGCTGTGATCAGACTGGGCCTAATGGAAATGGTTAAATTCGTCGACACTTTCTACGGCGGCTCAAAACTTTCCACGTTTTTTGAAAGCTGCGGTGTAGCAGATCTTATTACCACTTGCTACGGCGGTCGAAATCGTCGTGTTTGTGAACAATTCGTAAAAACTGCAAAGGTGCGTATACTATATTTACCATAATAGATATCTATTTTACAAGGTATTAATACATTTACGTCTAATCCTGCAGACTATCAAAGAACTGGAAGATGAACTTTTGGCTGGTCAGAAGCTTCAGGGTCCAGCTACGGCAGACGAAGTAAATGCGATGTTGAAAAATCGTAACTTGATGGACAAGTTTCCATTATTTACAGCAGTTCATCGTATTTGCACTAAGGATCTCAAACCTACTGAACTCATCGATCAAATCCGCAGTCATCCAGAACATGTGTTAGTACCACAGTTTAAAATATTTTTGTCTATTCAAATTTGAAATGTTTTTCTTATACTAATATTTGTTCCTAGGTTCGCTCCTAAAACAATGTACTTATACTAATCCTGTGTCCTGTTCCCTACTTCCATAACCAAAGGACTACGTGTCACCGTATCTATAACGAAAATAATTTATACCTTCTGGTATTATTATTTATTGTAAAATTATTTACTGCACTATTCTGTTATATATCAACAGTGAATTTTCATTCACAGTAACATGATCCGATTATATTTATATAATTTTGTTTTTTTGACAGTATGCGATTGGAAGGTGTTGTGGAAGATGCTGAAGATGATGCGTAATAATGATTGTATCTTGAAGTTCATAATATCTGAATTCATAATATCTGATCTGCTGATTTAGATTACTGTAAATAGAATAGATCGAATAAGAAGTTCTTGAGAATTGCGATTGTATATATTGTATGTATATATTATTGCTGCTGTTCACATCGCTGTAAATAAAGAAATATAAAAGCTAAAAGTTTTTTCCAAAGTGCTCACTGTTATCAGACTGTATTACAGACTGAGTACGTGAAGGGGTACTTTATGATTGACAGTTTGTAGCCATTAGTCAGTACGTGACAATAATTACTGTTGCCCGTTTTCTTTGACGCGGTTCAATGCATAAACTTGATTTGATTGTGTATTAGCCAATCACATATTTGCATTTCGAAGATAAACGAAGTTTATGCATTGAACCGTCTTGGAGGAAACGGACTTATGTGTAATAATATATAGTAATATTCTTTTTTAGCTCAGAATGAATTTTGCCCGTTCAACATTGATTGTCAAGATTAATACTTTAAATAACATAATTCTACATGTGTTAAACGAATTCTAGTTATCCAGGTGCAAGCTCATTATAAATAGTAACAACTTTCCATAGTCTACATAAACGTTCTGAAATTTATTTCAATGATGTATTATAATTAATATTTATGCGGTCTAAAAGGATGATTCGGGTCAAATAGCTTAGGGTCTTTGCAGAATGCCACATCTTTTGTATAGTATCCCATTAAACCTGAAAAGAATTCAAATATTCATATTAATTTCAATGTAATATTTAGCACAAAAATAGTAGACTATTTCCAACACTAAACTAAATGATGCTAATATCAGAAAAGGTTAATTCTATGGACTGTTATATAACTGCAGAAATTCAATATTCCTAACTACAAGTTTTCCTTTTCCATAGAATGTATGTCAACAAATATCAACATTTAAATTGTCACCATCAATAAATTGTACTACACAAAATGACTTTAAAAATATTATGTTGATATCTATACAAACCAGCATTTTGTGCTTTTAAAATTTCCTGTTCAACTTTTCGTTGCTGGTTCTTGCATAAACCAGTAATATGTCGTCCATATATTCGACCCGTAAAACGGCTTTGAAACTGTGATAACAGGCGAACATTCTTATAATCTGGTTTTATGTTTAGTTTACACAAAATGCATTCTTGTTTTTTATACTTATATGGATTCCTCATAAAAGTTGGCTGCAATTATAAAAGTAAAATGAATTGAATTTAAAATAAATATTTTACATAATTTTCTTATATCTTCTAATGCAAGTATACTTATCACATTAATACTTAGATCCATGAGAAATAACAAGATATGAAATAACAAAAATATTTTACTCGTTTTAGATAGATTAGATAAGGGAAACCTCAAACTGTAACCATGTAATTCATACTCAGAAAACACATATGTTCAAAAGTCATCTTTAAGATGTCTTAAGGATAATTTTTGTGCCATTAGTCACCTTAAAGATGATTTTTGGACATTATATATTGTCTAAGAAAAGATAAACGAAGATGTACAAGTGCTCCAACTTGACCAAATATAAGCAGTTTTGTCATTGATTGTTTATTGAAATTATACCTGAAATATTTACCTGATCAGTAAATAGACACTTACAATGTATTTTCAAAATGTATCTCACTGAAACTCTATTGCATGCAACCAACCTATCATTTCAACAAATATTAGAAATCCTAAACTTAATAATAACTAGTTTTTTCATATAGACAGGTCAATTATAGTTCTCTAATATAATTTGCTCCAATAGAGTATTTACAAAGCTTCCATTGTATCAACAATTATAGCAAATTAACAAATCTCTAACAGTAAAATAACAAAATCATTATTTATCTGATTTTGCTTCAATTTCAACTGTGATACAGTATTTTCAAATTTACGTTGTGTCAAGGTTTAAATACTTTTAGTGTAATTAGAAAAGCATCAAATGAATTCGAATATACCTTATCACTCTCCGAACGGTGTTTTTCTTCCCATACATTGGGTGAAACATTATGTACTAAACGATTGCTGGTACTTAAAACACGACCTGTAAAAAGAATAGGTTAAGTTAATTCGAAATTCATAGCATACTCCATTTAAGTTTTATATAAGTACATGTAAAGTTATGAAAATTCCGAATTAAAGAAGCATATGCCATTTCTTGATAAATAACTTGTTTTTACAACTCCTTTTATTCTTGAGTCGCTAACAGTATTTGATGTTATGGTAGTAGCGCAGATAAGCACTACAGAAAACTATCTACTTAACGGCACCTTCACAATTTCTCTTGAAAAGTGACTACGTTTACATGGCGGTTTTAAACCGGTTTAGTTAAAACTGATCTGAAAGAATTGACCAATCCCCAATTATTCCTTACAAGTAGAAATGTCTGATTTTTCTATTCCTTTAGATTAGTATTATCTTAAGCGGTTGAAGACCGTCGTGTAAAAGTAGTCACAGACGCCGTCATTCGAATGCAATATTTTGATTAATAGATATCAGGCAATGCGAGAATATTCATCTATTTCCACTATCCAAAGTCCTGTGTAGAGTTGGGGGTGCCGAATTAGAGCCCAATCACACTCGTAAAAAGCGCGCTAGAACGTGAACTGGTGACCAATGGCACAACGTATCCACAAGAATTTGCAGTGTGTTATTGGTCAAGAAGTACGTTCGAACACACGTTTTACAAGCATGTCCGATTTATTTGGAAAAGTTGTCCAAGACAGCGCTGTAATCGTTCTTATTTTGCGAAGTGAACAACACTCTCTACATGATTCATAGTTTTGAGGAATAACTGCATGAATTGTAGGCCCTTTTTCCACTCTCGTTCGACAGCAAGGAGGTGAATGTTACGTCCGTAAAGATTGAACTAATCTACGGGATTATTGTCATACTACCTTAATCAGGTATGAAGAATTTTTAAAGTAATACTGATATTTTACAGAGGCAAATCGGTATCTCGGGAAACAAGATGTGGTCGTCAATGTTAGAAACTGCAAAAAAGAATCCCTTTGGCACGCCTTTCGTGACGGCTGAGTGTCAGCAGCAACGTGACGATAATCAGGCATTAGTGAAAAATCACACTATTGCTGCTGCTTCGACTGCATCTGGTGGTAAGTTTTTATATTTCTGAAAAAAATTTATTTGAAGAAAATTGTGCTTCCTTTTAATCGTAGACTATCAATGGTATAATTTACAATGGCCTAAATATTTTAAATCTTACAGGAAAGCTTCTTGTAAATTCAAAATTAATGGTTTATTATTCGTTATACTTTGTATGAATTTTAATATTAGATTTTATGATAAAATAAGTTCTTTGCCGCATTAATATTTAACATTCTCAATTTACTGTGTAATTATGTAACAAATAGCACCAACTGTAGTTTTTACATAATTTAATACTTCAATAGCACAAATAGTCGTTAAAAAAAAATCTTTAAGTCAGTATTAAAATACTATTTAATTTCATAGATTTAATTTAGACTTTTTTGCTATCACAACAGTTGTTATATAATTAGTGGTTATGACGTTACCGACAATCATTTGTGTCTCGGCTTTGTAGAACAGGGGTATGCCAGGCATTGCGTAATGGACGCCATCTTGTTAAAGTATCACGGTCGTAGTGGCCTTGATTTATTTCTTATTTTTATTTGGGCGATCATGACCAAGACCGAATGACTGGCAGAGCTGCAGAATATTTGTTCTATTATTGAATGAGAACAAGGTTTAGTTTCGTTTGTTAATGGTCGCGCGGTTGGCCTTATTCCAAATTAAACTTTTCTATCAGCACAAATCGATCTTTAGATTATAAATTTCGTAATATCTGATTCTGTTTAGTTTATTTAGTATGCACTTCTATACTCTGTACTTGAATTTTATAACTTGGAATTTTAAATTTTTATGAAAAATGATGCTTCGTCCATATTTCACATTTGATGACATTGCTCGTTCTCATTCATGAAAAACATTTAACTATTTTTGAGTCAGTATTTTTTTTCTTTTATGTCATGTTTTAACCATGGACTGGACATACTTGGGGTCCATTGGATCTCACGTCACTTCCATTTTGCTTTAACAGTTAAGGTATCTTCTAACGTCGAAAAGACTAGTCATACAAGACGAATAACTCGGAAATTAGATCTCTCATTAATCGGATTCGGAATATAAGCAATAATAAGCAATATTAATTCTTTTATTAACGATTAGAATTGATTTGAGAAATTGAGTACTTTCCTGTTGACGTAGCATCCCTAGTTACAATCACTCTTTTTCTAACGTGAATATAACTTTTAATCAGTACTGAAGTTACGTAAAAGTTATTTCCTAGACTCGTTCCTAATCTGTATGAACCTCTTACATAGAGTCTAAAATTTTCAAATATTACCAACTTTAAAAATTTGATAACTAGAATGCAAGCAATGTCAGAAAGAAAATATGGTCCATTTAACCCCTGTGTGTCCTTTGTGTACTTCAAAAATTGAGTTTGTCTCTGCAGGGTTAAAGATTTTAATCAATACGTTATGTATCAATGTATCAAATGCATATAATACCTGGATATCTTGTGAAAATCATTCTAAAGATAAATAATGATAAAAATAGTCTTCAGTCATTTAGATTAGTATCTTGATCTATGTTAAATTAATGTCATTATCTTGAAACAAATTTAGGATTCATAATTATTATTTGTTTAATTCTTCTAACGCAAGTCTCATTATAACATAATAAACTTCTTGTACGTTTTTACATATTTATTATTATTATTGCAGACAGTTGTGAATTTGGATCGAACCATTACTTTTTGCTATGTGGTTTCGGTGGTATTTTGTCTTGTGGTCTTACCCACACCATGGTTACTCCATTGGATTTAGTAAAATGCCGTATTCAAGTGGACCCTGCTAAGTACAAATCAGTCTTTAATGGATTCCGAGTAAGACATTCAATTTGAAAATATTTCGCGATATTTGATATTTCAGAAGAATATTCTTAAATTATTAACTGTTTTAACTTCTAGGTTACACTTGCTGAGGATGGATCCCGAGGTCTTGTTAGAGGATGGGCCCCTACATTCTTTGGTTATTCAATTCAGGGTATGTTTAAATTCGGTCTGTACGAGGTCTTCAAGGTGTACTATTCAGCTCTTGCTGGCGAAGAGTTGTCATACGAATACAGAACCACCCTTTATCTTGTTTCTTCTGCTTCTGCCGAATTCTTTGCTGATATTGGTTTGGCACCATTGGAAGCTGCAAAGGTATGTTCCTTCTATGATGCGCATATAAATGATGGTATCCTTATAGAATCAAATTGTTTCTACAGTAAAGAGCATGAATTCAAGATTGATTTGTGTTTTGAAGATGTGCGTCCGACGAACCTTGATCCTCTATCTGATTCCTAACATTTCCCTTTATCCTGTGTTATAAAGTACGTGTATATGTTACTTGTAGTCAGGGTATAATTGCACAAATTTAATAAACTTATTCAATTTCTAGGTCAGAATTCAGACGATGCCTGGTTATGCAAATACATTGCGCGAAGCATTCCCCAAAATGTACGCCGATGAAGGTCTTGGTGGATTCTATAAGGGCTTAGTTCCTTTGTGGCTTCGCCAAATCCCATACACAATGATGAAATTTGCCTGTTTCGAACGTACCGTAGAATTGTTGTATAAATATGTCGTGCCCAAGCCTCGTCAAGATTGTACAAAAGGTGAACAACTTATTGTTACCTTCGCTGCTGGTTACATCGCTGGTGTATTCTGTGCTGTTGTGTCTCATCCTGCCGATTCAGTAAGTAAAGAATTTTAAACAAATTAGAGAGTAGTATTAAAAAGTTATACAATTTTTCAATATTTGTACAAAACGTTTATTGGCTGTAATAACACTTGTAAATCTAATGATCACCAGGTTGTGTCGAAGCTGAATCAAGAAAAGGGAGCGACTGCGGGTGATGTATTGAGGAAACTTGGCTTTGCCGGTGTCTGGAAGGGTCTTGCTCCAAGGATTGTTATGATAGGTACACTTACTGCTGCTCAGTGGTTCATCTACGACGCTGTCAAAGTTTGGCTGCGCATGCCCCGACCACCTCCACCAGAGATGCCAGAATCCCTTAAGAAAAAGCTTGGCCTTGCCTAAGCATCGATGATCGTTAACAACCCACACGATCATTTTCAGATCAATACTCCTAGAAAAAAAACTTAGACTAATTCGATTATCTTCCCTTATATCATTGTTAAACCTCATTCTTGACTACGATGTTTATTTATTTTGCATAAAGTTAATGCATCTGCAATGGCTCCATTCTCGGTTATGTGATTGGGGGATAATCATGAGTCGTAAGTAAATATGATACTGATGAGGTGATGTTAGCTCTTCTTCAGTGGTCGTAAAAAAGTAGCTTAAGTTGCTCCAAGTGATGACAATGATGTCATGATGTATTTCCTCGTCATGGTTAAAATGTTATCGCTCTGTAAATAGAGTGGTCATCGAAAATAAATCAGATTGCTCGATATATTCTTTTTAATTTTTTTATTCCTGAAACACTAATGGATCACTGTTTTCTAGTGCAATGATAATTAGAAATGGAACATAATCCAGGGCGTGATAGTTCTTTTGAGATGCGCTTTTTAACTCTAGGTATGTTTCGCCCCTAGTGGATTTGACTGCACTGTTGATTTCAGTGCACTTTCTATGTATTTTCAGTGTAGGCGTAAAAACGTCAAGAGTTCGACGGCATTACCATCGACGATACACTAAGAGATTAAAAGTACGCGGGTATTTGTGAATTTTCACAGTTACACCTACTCCCCGGTATTTAAACATCCTATTTACACCGAAGATTCACCTATTGTCCCAATATTCAGACGCCCAAGTTATACCGAAGTTTAACCTATTTTCCATTATCCATACACTCAATTTACATACACAAAAATGACACCCTTCAAAGTAATACCAACACCGTACTGAAGTTATTCATGGAATTAGTGTTTATTGCAAATAATACATATTTATAATTATAAACAATATTATAATTTGTAATAATTTTAATAGGAAAAGTTTGGTCTTTTTGTTGTTTCAGGATTTTGCTATTTCAGGATAGAAACAAGGAACTGGATTCAATTTAATATGAAAGTAATTTTAAATTATATAGAATTGTAAAAGAAATCTATATATTTTGTAGGATTGTTCTTTACAGTTTCATGCATCGAAAGTAACTACACAATAATATCGTCAGTCAGTTATCCAGGCAGTCAGGAAGTTTCAAAACGTACAAGCCATTACTTGTAGTAATTTTCAACGCTGGCGTTATTTCTTCATGAATTTCTACGAATACTAGATTGTCAATTTCGTTTACCAGTTTACTATTATTAGTTTGATGTAGGAATAAGTGGTATGTTATCGACATTTCTACTGTTAAGGCAGCTGTTCAGCTATTCTATATGTGCACACGTACGAGTAGTGTGACGTCAGAAGCGAGGAACTGAATATCTATTATTCTCATTCATTTCTAATTGATTTAGCAACATTTTTAATGAGCCAGCTTCATTGTAAGATGCGGCTGATCGCTCTTCTCGATTTAGGTGCGAAGAATGTTTCAATTTCAAGCAAATCATTTGTAAACAGATCATTCATTTCTGACCTGATTTTAATCAAGAAAAATTCATAAAAACTTATACAACATATATGAAATTATTTTGATGGAACATGGAAGTATTTTTCTCATAAATATTAGATACTCGCTACTCACCGCTGGTTCCTAAGGCAACCCTTAGAACGAAACCGGGAACTATAGAATTTCTCAAGAACTATTGACAAAGCCTATTGTTGAAACATTTTTAAGAAATTTGTAAGAAAATGCAGTGCCAACTTGACACCCATGTAGTATTTCAATTTTTACTAAATATTATTGGATCTTGATTTACTTTTAAAATTTATTCAAAATATAAAATTGAGGCTATATCAAAATCTCGCAGAATATACGGAATAGTTAAAAATTGAATTGAAAATGTAGAATATCGAAAATGAATTACGTTCAAATTGAAATAATAATAAATTAGGTGTTTGGAATATTAAAATAATTAATTAAATGAATAAAGTAAAATATTCACACTTAGAAATCAGAAATTCAGGCCAAGCATATTTAGAAGTACTGGAAGTTGCCCAAAATTGTGCGCGCGCAACTCGTCACGCACGACTCGGCGAGCGAAGGCAGGCGGAAGGTGGGGGGAGCGCTCGAGGCAGAGCCCGGGACTCACAGCGCTCATTCTTCCTCGAGCCGGTCTCCTATACTGGTCTCTTGGAAACATTCCTCGTATTCATTTCCAACCTTCTTCTATTTTTATATTTATTTCTTCTTGACTTCGTTATTTCTTTATCTTTCATTCTTCAATTTCTTATTTATCTCTTTCCTCATTTCTTCTCCACTTTTATAATTCTATTCCTTACTTTTCTACTTCTTCACTTCTTCATTTCTATATTCTTTTCTTTCTTATTATCTTATTCTTACTTCTTTATTTCTATATCCATTTACAACCTCCTTCTTCTTCTATATTTATTTCTTCTTTACTTTCTTATTTCTTTATCTTTCATTTTTTACTTTCTTATTTATCTCTTTCCTCGTTTCCTCTCTACTTTCATAACTCTAATCCTTACTTTTCTACTTTTTGACTTCTTTATTTCTATCTTCCTTTCTGATTTCTCGTTTCACTCGGTTGTCGGTGGGGAGGTCGGAGGGGTAGTCCGTTGACTTTGGGTAAAGTCCTATTTGTGCTTGTGCTTGGGGGTCACTTCACTTGGGGTAGGTGCGGGTGCTATTGAGCACCCGCTAGTATAAAGTCACCCTCTGTCGGAGACATTTTGCGCGTGGATCGATGGCTAACGGGGCCCGCCGCCGGCGGCGGGCGTGGTTCCTTACGTCTAACCCACTGGGCTTTTGCCCGTGGGAAGGGACGGAGGTTGTAGCGTTAAATATCGTCCTTCGGGATGTCCCGGCGTGCCCGCAAGGGTTCGCTGGGTGCTACGCCCGCGGTCTTTCGTTGCGGTGAATCTTGACTAAGGGTAGACCTTTCGCGTTTCACTTGTCCCTTTCGCGTTTAACTTATCTTAGCTTTTTCGCGTTTAACTTCACCTTACCCCCTTGTGCGTTTTTCTTGTCCCTCGACCCGACTTCCTTTCCTTCCTGAGGTTTTTCCCCCCTAGTCCTGTGCGCGAAAGCCGCAGGACTCGGGGGTTTTCCTCAAAAAAAACAACAAAAAAACACGGTCCCCTATGGGGCCTCGGAGGGGTCGTAGCTCCCTTCAGGAGAGGCAGGACCTCACGGAAATGGGCGGGGTGGGGCCCATTTCGCTCCCTTAAACTTCCTACTTTTCCCACTGTTCTCTTTTTTCGCTCCTCCAGAATAATCTGGTTCTCGTGCACACGGTTTACGCATTTTCTTCTCTTCTTGTTCCCTCAATCCTTACCATTTTTGTTTTTCATTCTCTCTTTTTAACAATCTTACTCTTTTTCCCTTCAACATCTTCCTTGGCTGCTGCCACCAAACGGTTTCACTCAATTTTCGAATCTCCTATTCCTTCCTATGTCTCCGTCACTTTTCTTCTGGTATATCCTTAAAAATTAAGTTGTTAAAAAGTCCTTTGGAAAAGGAAAAATCCAAAGTGGCAGCGCATATAACATACCACACGTATATTATATTGCAGTGATATATTTAAAATATATCTCTGATGTCATTGTCATTACTAATCTTTCGCGAACCATACTTTGTATATTGTATTATTATTGTATGTAATATATTGAATTTGTTGTATCATTACTGTACTTTGTATATTGTATCATTATTGCGTTTGTTCAATAAATTATCTTTAAACACTTATACACGTTAATATTCTTTTGCCCTATGCGATATATTTTAATATGTCTCTAATGGCATTGTTATTACTAAACTTTCGCAAACCATACTTTGTATATTGTATTATTATCGTATTGTAATATATTGAATTTATTGTATCATTACTGTACTTTGTATATTGTATCATTATTGTGTTTGTTCAATAAATTATCTTTAAACACTTATACACGTTGATATTCTTTTGCCTTATGCGAATATCCCAGAGTACGAATGAGTTCTGTCTCTTTCTTACACCCCTCCGTCCTAACAGCATCATTCTCCTCCCTTATGCTTCGAAACCCCTTTTTAGCTGTGCTGCATTTTCCATTCGATCTCTGCCATATTATCCATATCTTGACTTCGCTCTTCTTCATCAATACTACCTTCTACGATAAAATGATTTCAAATGTACTTTGAAAATCGCATCGTCGAAACTTCAGTGGGTAAATTTTGTTTAAAGAATTCGCATTAGTTCGAATTTTCGCCGATAAGAGGGCAGCACCTCCTGGGCATGATATGTGGCGCCATCTCTGAGACAACGAGAGAACTTTTTTTGATAAAATAAGTCCGAACGCAATTTAAAAATCGCATCGTCGAAACTTCAATAGGTAAATTTTGATTAAAGAATTCGCATTAGTTCGAATTTTCGCCGATAAGAGGGCAGCACCTCCTGGGCATGATATGTGGCGCCATCTCTGAGACAACGAGAGAACTTTTTTTGATAAAATAAGTCCGAACGCAATTTAAAAATCGCATCGTCGAAACTTCAATAGGTAAATTTTGATTAAAGAATTCGCATTAGTTCGAATTTTCGCCGATAAGAGGGCAGCACCTCCTGGGCATGATATGTGGCGCCATCTCTGAGACAACGAGAGAACTTTTTTTGATAAAATAAGTCCGAACGCAATTTAAAAATCGCATCGTCGAAACTTCAATAGGTAAATTTTGATTAAAGAATTCGCATTAGTTCGAATTTTCGCCGATAAGAGGGCAGCACCTCCTGGGCATGATATGTGGCGCCATCTCTGAGACAACGAGAGAACTTTTTTTGATAAAATAAGTCCGAACGCAATTTAAAAATCGCATCGTCGAAACTTCAATAGGTAAATTTTGATTAAAGAATTCGCATTAGTTCGAATTTTCGCCGATAAGAGGGCAGCACCTCCTGGGCATGATATGTGGCGCCATCTCTGAGACAACGAGAGCGCATATAACATACCACACGTATATTATATTGCAGTGATATATTTAAAATATATCTCTGATGTCATTGTCATTACTAATCTTTCGCGAACCATACTTTGTATATTGTATTATTATTGTATGTAATATATTGAATTTGTTGTATCATTACTGTACTTTGTATATTGTATCATTATTGCGTTTGTTCAATAAATTATCTTTAAACACTTATACACGTTGATATTCTTTTGCCTTATGCGAATATCCCAGAGTACGAATGAGTTCTGTCTCTTTCTTACACCCCTCCGTCCTAACAGCATCATTCTCCTCCCTTATGCTTCGAAACCCCTTTTTAGCTGTGCTGCATTTTCCATTCGATCTCTGCCATATTATCCATATCTTGACTTCGCTCTTCTTCATCAATACTACCTTCTACGATAAAATGATTTCAAATGTACTTTGAAAATCGCATCGTCGAAACTTCAGTGGGTAAATTTTGTTTAAAGAATTCGCATTAGTTCGAATTTTCGCCGATAAGAGGGCAGCACCTCCTGGGCATGATATGTGGCGCCATCTCTGAGACAACGAGAGAACTTTTTTTGATAAAATAAGTCCGAACGCAATTTAAAAATCGCATCGTCGAAACTTCAATAGGTAAATTTTGATTAAAGAATTCGCATTAGTTCGAATTTTCGCCGATAAGAGAGCAGCACCTCCTGGGCATGATATGTGGCGCCATCTCTGAGACAACGAGAGAACTTTTTTTGATAAAATAAGTCCGAACGCAATTTAAAAATCGCATCGTCGAAACTTCAATAGGTAAATTTTGATTAAAGAATTCGCATTAGTTCGAATTTTCGCCGATAAGAGAGCAGCACCTCCTGGGCATGATAAGTGGCGCCATCTCTGAAACGAAGAGTGAACTTTCTCCGATAAAATAATTCCGAATGCAATTTGAAAATAAGCTATATCTTGGAAAGGGCAGGGTTTAGGACTTTTGCCTTGATATTTTGAATGATTTCTCTATGCAGAAAATCAGAATGGTCTATGGAAGAGGCTAGTGCAGGTCAAATTGCGATAGGGCACTTTCAAAAAATCCCTTTACTTTTTACAACTTGCAGATGGAATGGAAATAATGGTAGAGAAAATGGACCATAACAGAAAAGGGATATCGAAGTATAAAGGTGAAGGAGGACGGAAAGGATGCTGTAAGGACGGAGGAGAGTAAGAGAGAGACAGAACTCATTCACACTCTGGGATATACGCAGAAGGCAAAAGAATATCAACGTGTGTAAGTGTTTAAAAATAATTTATTGGTCAAACGCAATAATTATACAATATACAAAGTACAGACGTACTTATAAGGCATATAGGTCATAGGCTTATAAGGCATGAATATAAAAAATGTAAATTTTTCTGAGAATTTGATTATTCTTAACTCATAAAAATGAATACTCATGGAGTCAGTCTAGGCGAAGCGTACAAATGTAATAATTGTATGAAGTACGCAATAATTTATCGTAATATTGACCCTAAGAGATACATATTAATAATTGTAATAAGTACTAGTAGCACCAGCAGTAGTAATAATAATCTTTTGATATAACAAAATTAATATTGTGCACATGAAGCAGATTAATATGTTCTTTGATATAAAAATAGTATCATATCATTTTCGCTGTACTACAAATGGACTTATATATACAGATATCATAGCTTAAATATAATTTTTTATTTGACATAATGATAATTATCAATGTAAATTACATACAAACAGTTTATTTTGTAATAAACAGTTCACATGATATCCATGGCCACAAGGAAATAATGCTACGCCATTATTGTTCAGAAGGATTGGAGTTTTTAGAGACAGTGTACAACATGGGCACGATAATGATTTGGCTTTACACTTCATCCCCCAATGATGCGTAGTAGTTGACAGTTTTTCGACGTCCATAGGTATATCAACGTCCTTTTCAAGCATATTCGCCAAATGAGCAGCAACCTGCACAAAATAGAAAGAGATTTGAAATACTTGTACCATATGAATTGACACCATTCAGTTAATACTAGTACCACATGAGTTGACACTATAAGTGTGACTCGATTGTTAAAAATCATTAATCATTAACGATTTTAAATATTTTTAAGATCTATGCGATTACTGCATTATGGAAAATTGAAACACTGACCCATGGACTTCATGTTTTACTCACACAATGGCGTTGACGAACAAAAATCAAATTGAGTTAATACTTAGAGAAATTAATGATATATTTAATATGACGGCGACGTGAGTTCAACTTACAATAAACATGCTGCTGCAGTTATAAACGAAATATTAAAATGAAGATGCATCTTAAATGTATTATAGTATTTTACTCAGACGAGTTTGTATTATATGTTGCTATAAATAATCTAGAAACTTTTTGAATATCTGTTTTTCTCATTCGGATAGAATGATGTCTCTCTATCTAGATTAGCTTATTTTTTCGAAAAGCAGTCACGAATTTATTGTATTTTCAAGGGGACATGGTACATACAAATACTGTCTCTGGAAAACACAAGTTATCGATAAAGACGAATGACAATTCTAGCCTTCTTCGGTTATAAACAGATGTTATATCATAAATGATAAAGCTAATACCTTCTTGGATGACAATGCTTCACATCTATCCTTCGCTATAGAATCACAATCAAAGTAAACGCTACGCTGCAATCCACCTCGTTCCAAAATTTTTTTGAATATGAGGGCCTGGTAAATGCTAAAAAAATGAAGTATAAATAAAACAAATGTCCTCATTTCTAGCGATTTAAACGCACTTTTAAACATGCAAAAATGAGTTTATTATGGGATTAAATTTTTTTATTTGAAAAAATGCTTAAATTTTGCGAGTTTTGCTCGAGGTACTCGAAGTCCCAAAATGCAATATTAAAAAAGGTTTCAGACAAAATTTATAGTTTTGTTTCTAATAGTCTTGTTTCCAAGACAAATAGTCGATATAGATGATTATCATATAATTAGATCACAATGAAACTATATCAAAATTTATTAATTTCATACGCACCTGTTATTGAATATTACGTTTGAAAATATAGAGTGAACTTTGACTAAAAGTGTGAAAGCAACTTCTACTTTTTCTCTCTGTACGATTTCACGACAGACTTCATTCCAATCAATCATCAACTCATTGGGATCCATGATTAGATCAAGGACTTTGTCACAGAAGAGACATTGTTTTTTTTCCATCTTCTGAAGGCAAACGTCCACTAATTTCCATTGTCTCGTATCCAATAATGGCAATATAAAGGAAAGAATAACACTATCTTTTGTTTGCAGGCACTGAAGAAGTATATCGCTAGATACGCTATTTTCCTTTGCACATAGAGAGAAATATTTTCGCCAGAGATATGGAACTTTTCCACACAATTTTATACAAAATTCTGCGTCTTCACTCATAAGACTCTTTAATAAAGTTGTGCCCACTTCCAAGAACTTTGGCTGACTAATTTTTTCCATTAAACAAGGAAAGCCGCAAATACATTCTTTATAATTCTTTGCATTTATATCAATAAAACATTTACAAATTTCTAATAACGTTCCTTTGGTTAAGTTTATGCAGGACATTTCAGTAGAAAAACTCTGTAAAACTGCAATGTTATATTGCAGCTCTACATCATGTATCACTTTGTATACACATTCATTCATTTCACCCAGTTCTCCGTGTGACTTTGTAACTTCCTTTATAGCATTTCGTAATTGTAACGAAATTTCTTCAATTTGACTATTGATTAAAACGCTTTTAATATTTTTAATTATATTATACACCGGTGCCAATTTAATATGTACATCCCTCATTATCTCTTCGTTTAAATATATCTGTGTTTTCTCGTTTTTAGAATTATCAGTTCTGGTCTTCAAAAAACTAATACAATCTTCCTGCACATTTGTTTGCTCAATTTTTCTGCTGGATATTGTATTTCTAGGATCTAAATTAAGTATTTCATCTGGTTTACTTATCTCTTCATTCTCGTGTACGTTATTTTTGACAAAGGCATTACTTTCTATAAAGTTCATAGTATTTGGACACAGTTTTGTATTCAAAGAAAAATCTGTTACTTCGTGTAATAAGTCCTCATTTGACGAAGAAGGCACATCCATTTTCACATCGAACCAACTGTATGAATTACAATCTTCATGATCAACAATGGCTTGTTTCGAATTGACAACTACGATGCCAGAATTTAGTTTTATTGGAGATTTCTTTACGTTGGACTTTAAGACTGTAATTAGCGAATGTAGTTTCAGTGCTATTTCATCACTATTTAATATATTGCACTTGTTATCTTTTTTATAAATCTCAATGAACTCACTATCAAGATTTGAGTGAAATAGATCTGGTTTAAATAAGAAACACACTTGCAAACACTTGTTATAACATTTTTTTTCGTATAATTGAAGTATTAAATTATCGAATGTGGTAAGAGTCAAGCAACGAAATTCACCGGATTGTAACATCAAATAAATATTGTCTTTAATCACATCTGCCATTATAATATCAGTCAATTCGTTACTCCATAAAAGAATTGATGAATTATTAGGGTCGATGATATAAATCCCGCTGGACGTCCAGGAAAATAAATATTTCCAACCGAACATTAAGAGCCGTGTGAAGTTAACGGATTGTGGATTACAGGCTTCAGCCGTTTCTCCAATTTGCATGACTTCTGAATCATTAATTTTATAAATAGTATTTGGCGGAGCGACGAGAGCTTCTTTAAATTGGTGAGTTTTCGTGACAGTGCCGCTTTTTGTTACTTCCCAAAGCCTGGATCCAGGTCGCGCGCAATAAATTCTTATGTCATTCGCTTCATTGACATACAAATTTTCTTTCAAGTTAATATGCCGTGATGGATCTGCATTTTTCTGTTCTTGCAATTTTACAAACCCGTCTGCATTGTGTTCGTTATAAATTTTGTAAAAACAAGCTCCAAATTCCCCGATTCTTGTTTTATTTCCTATTTGTTTGTATTGTTCTTGAACAGTATCGCATAAATAAGAACGCGTCAGTGTAGATATCAGTAGAAGTGATGAATTGAAGTCCATTTGAATAATTTTTGAATCCAAATTCATCAAAGTACTGGCAGGAACTTGGAATATTCCATTAACCTGAAAATACAATTTTTTATTGAATTAATTGAACGTGAATACTGTCACCTAAAATTGTAATGTTATGGGTGGTATTACTAGAAATATTACTTCCATTATACAAGGGCAAAGAAATCTTTAACTTATAAAAAATAATGTTAGAAGCATTCAGAGACCCGATTAGGAACTTTAATATTAGTGAAAATACGAAAGGCGAATAGATGTCAGCTAATCGAGTGTTGGAATTAAAAGAGGGCAAGTGCAACTACTGGTTAAAACCTCTTACCGTAAAAATAGATTGAACCATGACAGATATCTTGCCGGTAGAATCGCCAATGTATAGTGCGGAGCTGTTATCATCCCAACAAAGGCACGTAACACATTTTCCAACATGTTCCGTGGATAATGCTATCTGTTTCACTACTGGTTTAAGACTTACAAAGCAAACGCTGCCGCCCATCGTGGCCAATGCGACAAGTTTTTCATCTGGTGATATAAGTACGTGGCATATTAGACCTTCCTATAAAATTAAGGGGTAAAGCGGTTAAAGGAAAATGGATTTAGTTCATAGACATGGTTCAATAAAACAATTGCTGGACTAATAAAAAAAATACTTTACCGAAAGTGGTATTAACTGTTGAAAAATGCATTCCTCTCTGGAAAACAAATAGAGGCTCCCACTAGATGATCCCAATATGATGTAGTTTGGAGAAACACCAAAGCAAGTATACTGCAACATACATAATTTTATTATGGGGATGGCATGAAAGTAATGAGACACTCTAAAAAACTCGTCCCTGTCGTATTTCATAACTTATCTGGGGTTATGATTCACACTTCTTGATTAGAGCTCTAGCTAAAGAAATGAATTTTACTCGGCCAATATTTGTCATGTTTGTGAAAAACCGTTTACACCTCAGGATGCCAAGCATCGTGATCATTGCCATTTTACAGGCAAATATCGCGGTGCTGCACATCAGGGGTGTAATTTGAACTATAAGAACTCACATACCGTTCCTGTCGTATTTCTTAGCTTATCTGGTTATGATTCACACTTCTTGATTAGAGCTCTAGCTACATCTTTCGAGGGTTCAATGAATCTCTTACCAGTAAACAAAGAAAGATATATATCTTTCACGAAGAGCGTCAAGGATACGATTGTAAATTTCAGATTTATCGATTCATTTATATTTATGCCGAGTAGTATTGACAAATTAGCATCTTATTTGAAAAATGATGAGAAATTAATTACGCGTAAACATTGTAATAATGTATAGGAATTCCATTTATTGACTAGAAAAGGTGTTTTTCCCTACGAATATATTGATAATTGGGAAAAACTCAAAGAGGATCAATTACCTGCAAAAGCAGAGTGAGGATGCCAAGCATCGTGATCATTGCCATTTTACAGGCAAATGTCGCGGTACTGCCCGCACGTTCGTGCAGGTTTCGGACGTCAGCCCTCACCCCGTTTGACCTCGAACGTTATCTCGCAGAATTGCGCAGCATCGCTGATCCAATCCTCCAGGAATTTTCCAGAACTTTTGTCCCTAACTTCATAGCGCAGGCTAGTGCGTAGAATCGGTGAATGAGAGAGAGATGGAATCTCTAAATTTCAAACAAAGAATTGAATTTTACTCGGCCAAGATTTGTCATGTTTGTGAAAAACCGTTTACACCTCAGGATGCCAAGCATCGTGATCATTGCTATTTTACAGGCAAATATCGCGGTGCTGCACATCAGGGGTGTAATTTGAACTATAAGAACTCACATACCGTTCCTGTTGTATTTCATAACTTATCTGGTTATGATTCACACTTCTTGATTAGAGCTCTAACTACATCTTTGGAGAGTTCAATGAATCTCTTACCAGTAAAGAAACAAAGATATATATCTTTCACGAAGAGCGTCAAAGATACGTATTAGAGCTCTAGCTACATCTTTCGAGGGTTTAATGAATCTCTTACCAGTAAACAAAGAAAGATATATATCTTTTACGAAGAGCGTCAAAGATACGATTGTAAATTTCAGATTTATCGATTCATTTAGATTTATGCCGAGTAGTATTGACAAATTAGCATCCTATTTGAAAGATGGTAAAAAATTAATTATGCGTAAACATTGTAATAATGTAGAGGAATTCCATTTATTGACTAGAAAAGGTGTTTTTCCCTACGAGTATATTGATAATTGGGAAAAACTCAAAGAGGATCAATTACCTGCAAAAGAAGAATTTTATTCAAAATTAAATAATGAAGGAATCTCAGAAGCAGATTACACGAATATATTGATAATTGAGAAAAACTCAAAGAGGATCAATTACCTGCAAAAGAAGAATTTTATTCAAAATTAAATAACGACGGAATCTCAGAAGTAGATTATGATCACGCTTGTAATGTTTGGCAAACTTTTTGCATCGAAACATTAGGTGAATATTCTGATTTGTATCTGAAAACCGATGTTCTCCTTCTAGCCGATATCTTTGAAAACTTTAAACGCAATTGTTACGCTATATACAATTTAGATTCTCTACACTATTACACTGCACCTGGCCTTGCTTTCGACGCTATGCTCAAGTGTACGGGTGTGGAACTTGAGTTGCTGACTGATGTAGAGATGTTGTTGTTTATCGAGAGAGGCATTCGAGGTGGCGTAGCTCAATGCTCCAACAGATACGCCAGGGCTAACAATAGGTACATGGGCGCAGAGTAGATTCTCTACACTATTACACTGCACCTGGCCTTGCTTTCGACGCTATGCTCAAGTGTACGGGTGTGGAACTTGAGTTGCTGACTGATGTAGAGATGTTGTTGTTTATCGAGAGAGGCATTCGAGGTGGCGTAGCTCAATGCTCCAACAGATACGCCAGGGCTAACAATAGGTACATGGGAGCTGATTTCGATCCAAGCAAAGAGGAATCGTATATTATGTATTATGACGTAAATAATTTATACGGTGCAGCTATGAGTCAATCTTTACCAGTAGACTCATTCGAACGAGAAGAAAATTTTGAACATTGGATATTTGCAATATTCCCGATGACTCTATTACGGGTACATATTCGAAATTGATTTGGAGTATCCTATCGAGCTTCAAGAACTTCATAAAACGATATTTGCAATATTCTCGATGACTCTCTTACAGGTTACATATTCGAAATTGATTTGGAGTATCCTGTCGATCTTCAAGAGCTTCATAAAGATTTGCCACTCTGCCCGCAGCAATACACTCCTCCGGGCTCTAAAAATTCGAAATTGATAACTTCGCTCCTCCCTAAAAATAGATACGTCATTCATTATAAGAATTTGAAACAGTGTTTGAGATTAGGTCTGAAGTTAACAAAAATTCATCGTGTTCTAAAATTTAAACAGGCACCGTGGCTCAAAAAGTATATAGAATTGAACACCGAAATGAGAAAAAAATCGAAAAATGATTTTGAAAAAATTTTTTAGGAACTTATGAACAATTCGGTTTTCGGAAAAACAATGGAAAATGTCAGAAAACAAAAGGACGTTAGATTGGTTACTAGGTGGGACGGAGCGTATGGAGCAAAGGCTCTGATTGCAAAACCAAATTTTCATAGCTGCACCGTATTTGATGAAGATATGATCATAGTAGAATTAAATCGAACAAAAATTAAATTCAATAAACCGATATACGCAGGATTTTCCATTCTAGACATTTCTAAAACGTACATATACGATTTTCACTACAACTATATAAAAAATACTTTTGGTGATAGAGCTAAATTGATGTATACCGACACCGATAGTCTAATATACTACTTTACCGTCCCGAATATATATGAGTATATTAAACGTGACTTAGATAAATTTGACACGAAAGGACGACATGACATGAAAGGACGAAAATAATGGAAAAATTATGATTGAATTTGTAGTATTGAGAACAAAATTATACTCTTTCAAACTTTCAGGAGAAAGCAAAGATAAAAACGCGCGAAAGGAGTCAAGGCCTCCACATTGAAAACAATTACCTTTAATGATTATATGCAATGTCTTTTGCATCATCAAAATTTAATGAAATGTCAAAATTTAATTCAAAGTAAAAAACATAAAGTTCATACCGTACAACAGAGAAAAATAGCACTGAGCTGGAATGACGACAAGAGAGTCATTCTTCCTGGGACGACCGACACCCTACCGTGGGGTTATAGAATGTAAGATGTATATAATAAGAATGTACAAATGTGAGATGACGCAAAACAAAAGAAAATAATAAAATAATCTATCGTAATTTAACTTAGGGCTTTGCGGTCGATAGATCCTGCCTGGACTTTGCAATGGCCTTTCGGCCCGTATCGCGTTTCGGCGTGATTTTCCGCCGAGGACAAGACGGGTGAAATCCACCACGTCACA